AGTTTTGATGTATAGATTGCTTTCCAATTGTTGAACTGAGCAACCAGTTCTATTTATAGTTTAGTTTACCTTGACACTAAAACAACTCACAATCTAGTTTCGTTATTGAAATTGTGTAGTCACTAACAATCAATTTGTTGGAATTGAAATATTTAGTTCATTTTTATTAAGCAACATTGTTGTCTGTTTTCCGATGACAAGTTTTTGAGGACGTTTTATATATTTGTTTCTAGAGTGGTAGTTGAAGTAAGTATGATATCAGGAGTGCAAGAAACGCTACATCACCGGTTAACAGTAATTAAAGTGGTATGGTCTAAATGTAACTGACAATTGTTCTGTATTGGATTTACTCTTTCTTAAAATTGTTTTTTAACCTGATTTCAGGATATCTAAACCTTCCTATAATGTGACGTTCCTAAGTGGTTACTAATATAATTCTAAAGTTGATTTATATATATATTAATATCACTCTACGTTGATAACTTCCGGTGCTTTCTTTCATTTCGTTTAAATTAATCTCATCAACTTCAGTTTTCGTGGCTCTTATCAATTAACGATAACATTGATTTAAAACATTCAATCTTTGACGATATTCAGCTTAATGGTTTCTCTGATCTAATATAACTTTTATTAAATGACAATAGTCAGTGAAATTTTGTATACTTAATAAAAGATTATAATCAACTGAATTGTCATGCAGATATTCTACACTGAACTATGATGGTAACTTGATAAAAATCACTTTGAAACAATTATCATTTCATGACTGCAAAGCTTTAAATGTTGTTAAACTATGGAGTTGAATAGAAGGAGATTCGAAGTTAATTATTAGTTTAAAGGTAGGAAATCATTTTAAATACAAAATTATACGGATAATTGAAATGATTGTTGAAAATACATGAAATAAATGACAAAGACTATAATTATGTACGGACTACAGTTACGTAGATAGTTTAGATTCGAATTACTTCAGTTACAACGAAACTATGACTCATAACCTTTGTACTCTTAATTAAGAGTTAACTATTCACAGTATTATTCCTAAATTCGTATGTGACTATGAGGACATATACATACAGACAGATTTTTTATTGATGTTCATTTCGAAAACAATAACAGATTGAAAAAGTCGAATTTATCATTTCTGAAATATTCTTGAGATAATTCTATAAAATCTTGTTAAGTTGAAAGTTACTTTGTTGTGCTTTAATAATTACGACAATTCAACACGATCTCGAATGAAAGATCACCACATAAAAAAGAAAATGTTCGGTTATCTCATTAAATGTTAACTTTTTAATTTTTTTTCTCTATTTAGCTCGCTAACAGTTTACCTCAAATATATGATTCACACTGAATCAACTTTTAATCAACCGATATCATTCAAACTATCAGAGTACTTCCATTTCATTTTAAATTTGATACATTTCATTTGTTTATATTGAAACTAAGAAATTAAATCGTTTTTAGTTTTGTTAGTCTAAAGTTTTGACTAACAAGTTGCAACTTCAAGGAATATCACTTAAATATTCCTTTTAAAGTATGCAGAAAATTTACACGTTCGCTACAATTACTTGTAAATGAGTATGTGATTTCTTAATTACGTTTGATAGTTATACATCCATTGATTTGGGAAAGAATTTAAGTAAATTCAAACTTCACATTCACCAATAAACATCCCATCACGTCTAAACATTTTGAATTCAGTAAGAAAATGTTGTGTATTAATAACTAGAATAAGATCATAGAGATATTGAATAGTATTTTTTTTATAGAGAAAATGTAGTTATAATTAACTACAGAGAAAATACAGAACAGTACTTGTCATTCTGCCGAAAGTTAAGTAAAATCAAATTCCGTTTCTGTTGACCGTGTCAAAATTCCGTTCTGAATAAGTAGTTTATTTTAGAAAATGTTTATCTGATTTACTGTCATTGTGATATCGGTGATTTCGACGCTCATCAAGACCACTAACATAAGTAAAGTTATTATAACAAATGGGTTTAATGGGAGATTATTTAAGTGTTCCTATTTTTTTTTTACAAAATATCCGACTGTTTAATATGTATAGTAGAACTTTTCAGTCATGTTGAGTTAATCTAAAATAATAGACAGTCTTTTTTTGCGATTGGATGTTTTATTTGTATAACTTTCATTATTTTACTTGACAACAGTTCTTAATTAAATAAGTGCTGATGATTTTCAAAATGAAAGTAACACAGAATAGCTTCGAAAGTGTTCTACTGGAGACAAAAAACATAGTTGTACCCATAAAAGGAGTCTCAGTAAGTCTCAGTTATATTTTGCGTAAGAGTGTGAAGTCCGTCATACCTGTAAAGATTTCATGCAAAATTTCGGATAGTTTACTAATCTTTCTTGTGACGTAAGTTATTGTTTGATGCTTGTTTAATTAGAGTAAGAACATGAATGACACCTGAAAATACGTTTAAATATACCAGGGGCTGATATGCATTGACAAAGACTTTACTTGAACAAGACATCTGAATGATCTGCATTGTTTTTCTTTGCTTCCAATCACAAATTAATGTTACTTATCAATTTACGTAACTGTTATATGAAATTTACTTGGTAAAATATTACGAAAGATGCAATTTATTGATTATGTTGATATTTTTAACATTTCACAATCTCGCAAACACTTCTGGCAAGCTTTATCCAGGATACGCGTTAAATAATTAATGATGTAAACAACTGAAAAAAGAATAAAAGTGAGTCTATTATACACGTTTGTATAATAGCAGATGCGGGACTGACATTTCCATTCCTAATTCATTTTATTGCTTTTAATATTAACCTGAGGCTAATTCTTTATTCTTATAAATGCACCTGACCATTATTTTGAACATCTGTTTTCTTGCTATACTAGTATGTTTTTTAAATACGAAGAGTTTGGTTACTTTCATCAATTCTTTCACTAATTAATTTTTTTCTATTAGCTCTTTAAACTTTCTACAAGATTATTTACTTTTATGCTTCGTTCGCTTTTATTTAATTTTCATCATAAATGCTTGTTAACTGAATTCATTATTATTTCCCAGCAATAATGATCCGTTGGTTATCTCATGTGTGAAACCACTTATCCATGCATCGAATAAGTCTTCTCCCCTAATGAAATAAGTTTTTCTCACTGATTCACTTTATCATCCCATGTGACATTGTTAGATTACGCAAGACAATATTTGTTTTCAAATGAAGTTGATAGCTTCCAACACATCTTAGAAAAATCAATTATATGCTTGTCATCCGTTTCAATTGAAGCACAATAAGGTGTTTATAAGGTTCAAGAACATCAGAACAGATGGCTAGAGCACTGTCAAGAACTCTTGAGTAGACCAACCCCACCGAACCCACCCCGGACATCGAAGCAGCACACACAGGCATTCATATTAATGTCAGTCCATCGGAGGTAGAAGAAATCAGCATAGGTATCAGACAAATGAAAAGCGAAAAAGCGGCAAGACTTGACAATAAACCAGCTGAAATACTAGAGCCAGACATAGAAGCAATAGCGAACATGCTCCACGTTTTATTCAGGAGGATTCGGGAGGAAGAACAAGAACCTCTGGCAGATTGTAAAGAAGGATATCTCATGAAGATACCAAAGGGGGAAGATGTGAGCAAGTGTGAAAACTATAGAGGCATCGCACCACTCTCAATACCTGAAGATGTTTTCAACAGTGTTGGTTGATCTGACGAAAGATTGAGTGGACGCTCAGCTTCGAGATCAACAGTCTGGATTCCGTGAGGATCGGTCGTGTAGAGAGTAAGTCGCGACACTACGGATTATCGTCAAACAATAAATTGAATGGAACTCGTCACTATATATGAAGTTGTTTGACTATGAGATGTGTGACAACGTGGAAAGGAGAACCTTATGGAACGTTCCTCGACACTATGGAGTAACTGTGAAGATCGTCAACATCATCCGGGATTCATTCGACAGACTACAGTGTGATGTTGTGCATGTAGGACAGCTGTGAGACACATTGCAAGTGAAAACCGGAGTCCGATAAGACTGCATACTCTCGTTCTTTCTCTTTTTTCTGGTGATTAATTGGATTATCAGGATTTCCACACATTGGATTGAGAATTGTAGGTAGACATGAAAAGAATGAGTAGCAAGTGGAAATAAATGGAAATGATTTCCGAGAACAGAGTTGGTTTGAGAATGCTGATGGGCGGTATATGCTCGTTCACGAGGGGTAAGTGGCGCAAATTTGACAATTGACTAAGTACTTGTAGATTCATAATCGATGGGATTTAGTGACACTATTCACAGTGTTAAAACATTCTATACGAATCTTCAATATGAAATAGAATCCGAGGCTAAGATTACTTGTTTGATCATGCGTAAGAGAAATGTAAGTTGTATTATGTATGTTCTAAAATATCTCAGTTTTCTACTGGATTGTTGAAGGATAGAAAAATAAATACTAAATTTTCAGGTCAATCTTTTAAAGCATTTAAAGTGTTTCTGCCTAATATGATACGTAGAATCGAGAGAAATATTAATTTATTTTTTACAGTGTTAAATGAACTTGAATAAAGGTTAAATAAAATTATGTTCAGATAACCTTTTCATAAAATATTGGCTTTTCCCCATAGCCATTTACTTACTACAAATTTAATACTTGGAATGATAAACAGTGAGATTAAATAATTACTTTTTATGAATTATCTGTTAGAAAGCTAATATAAAATAAATTTCTACAACTGTTGTAATTAAATAAATTTATGAATGGTAACTAATTTAAAACTATAAGGAAATAAATTTAATTGACTTTATGCAATAGGGTCGACCCATTTAATCAGATTTTTCTATTGGGAAATGATATTATGATACCAGATGTCTATAAACTATTCTTTATTTATAGTACATTCCTGTTATTAAATTATCTTTTATTTTACATAACATCTACTCCATTATGATCGTCAATATTATTAATTATTTATATTCCCCCACATCGAATTTTCCTTAGTTTTTAGGCTAAATCGTCATGCTTAGTTTGGTAGATTGTGAGGTTTTTCAGTATTAATGGAGTTCTCTTCTTCAGTCCATCTTCACAAGAATATTGATATTGAAATCTTTACTTTAAAAAACTCATATTCTGAGGACGGATCATCTACAATCCAAACTGCTGTTTCTTTACTATCATGTGAATAGAAGATGAATATAATCAGGTGATTTACTAACGACTGAGACATTTAAGTGTTCTTGTGAACTAAACAAAAAATGAATATTATTTTGTTTAATCTAAATGATTAAAAATAGTCATCACCGATTCCAAGTAAATCATTTTGTCCCTTTTTAAAATTTTTATCTCATTTATTTTATTGCAACAGGACTTTATTTGCTTGCTTGAAATAACTACATGACCCGATCTACTTTTTATGTGTTTCCAAATTGATAGATTGTGTTGTTTGTTCTATATTGTTTTTATCGTACACATAAATATAAGGAAGTATACATTTGTATACGAACTCATTAATAAACAGGCAGAAACACAAACATACATAAAAACTATTTCATTTCGCTCTATTCTGTTAATTTCTGCTTATTTATTACAATATACAGAGAAAATTGAAGAAATTTGAGATTTTGTTCTACATAGGTGAATTTAATTAATAAACTCATCTTTTATTCCACTACTTCTATTTAAGCAAGTTTATTTCATTTCTCATTTTGTTTGTGTTTTTTTCTCCAGTTTACGTTATTTGTTTTTTGCTTCTTTGTTGATTATTAGGCCAGAAATAATAAATAAATAAATAACTCTTCCTGAACTCTTAGAAATCATATTTAGAAGATTGGACCATTTTCCTTTCTATACCTGTTCATTATATTGTCCCTATTGATAATTTAAAGGGATATATAGAGTAAGTTGAATAAATAAAAATTAGGGATTATTGATTACAATTAATAATCTGACACTAAAGATTATGATGCAAACGATTGAATATGAGTTTAATCAGTCGTTCGGGATAATCTCAGCATCTGACTAGTTCAGTTTCCGTCAGGTTAAATTATGTTTTATTTTTGGTTGTATGTACGTTAAATGTTCTTCAAAATGCGATATTATTATTATTATTATTATAAAGTTTGACAAACAAAATATTTTGTAAGCACATTCACTAGTACTAATAACTACGGTTTTACAACTTGGGAATTACATCAAATAGAGTTAATTATTTAAGTTACAGATATTTTGAAAATGTTGTCGATCATAATGAATAACAGATGGTAAACAGCCAGACAATAGAAATATGAAATGCTGCAAGCTTAATATTCACAAATACATATGGAAATCCCAATGAACTTACTTTAAAGCCCAATAAAAGTACTGTGTTACATTATCGAGTCAAAATATACGGAGAGTAAAAGCTTTATTGAATTATCACTCTGCTTGTCTTCGTGAATATGATTACACTAAATAAACACTGTGTAATAACCATTGTCACATTGTCTTATTTTTTATACTGAAAAGATCCTACTATTTCATTTGTTCATAGGGTCAATTATAAAACAAACAATCCAATTTATTTACAGAGTAAAATGATGGGTTCCATCATCCTATTTCACGGTTTCTCATCAGCTGCATACAACCTAGAACTACAATTATTAATATGATTTTTAACAAATGTTTAAAATAATTTAGATTGTGAATTTTAGATAAATGTTCAAAACGTAACCTGAATAATAATAATAATAATAATAGAGATACAACGTGTATAGATCAACTTAGTTAAGATCGGTGTGTATTTAAATTCGGTGAAATTATTATTCAGAGGTTATGTAAAGAAAATGAGACTAATAAGTGATTGTGTAACAAACAATTATGTGAACATTATGCAAAAGATGAATATCAGAAGACAAAATAAGCACAACGATTAAAGGTTGGGGACAGAGTAGAAAACAAGATTAAAAGTTAACATTAATAAGGGTTATCGGATGAATGCCTCATCACCATGGCAGAGAAAGGCTAACCCCCCTTTCACTTGTATACATAGGTCAGGTCAGAGACGTTTTATAGCGATTGTCTCTACCACGGATTAAGATTGATGTTTTTACATGTTAATTATTTCGAATGCATTACTTACATTTACTTTCTGTCCATTATCCAAAATGTGTCTAGCAATCGCAATTGTAAAGACTTTTACTCCCTTTCAGCCATAGGTCTTTAGGAATGTATGAAGAAAATTTTATGGAGGCTCTTTACTGTCTTTTCTTTCCACTTTCTGCCATCAGTAGATGTAAATTCATAAATCCAACTGGATGTGAAATCGCAATCGTATTGATCTGCCTTTGAACTGTACAATGAACACTTAGTGTTGTATGGCGAAATCAATCGAGCAACAAGGAAGCTTGTTTCAGTGCCACCTTTACTCTCCTATCGATTCTAACTGAAATCTCATATCTTTTGAATGGAAAGCGGATGAAAAAATTTTTTAAATAGTTGGTTTTTATCATCCTTGAGATATTCTTTGCTATATTTCGTTATACAATTCCTCGGGTATCCATTTTTCTGAGATACTCTTCCAGAATAGTTAATTCCTTATTTATTTTGCCGTTCATCAAACATCCTAGATCTATTGAGGAGCGTTTTTACTAGACAGCTTTTGTAACTGATAGGACAAAAGCTATTAAAATTCACCTAATGTCTTGTTCATGTTTCTTTCTTATTTATACTTTTCTCAAGACTTTAATCGCTTTTCTGTCTTACACTAAGACCTAAAACATTGAATTAGCTATTTCTTTCATATTCCATTGTAAACGTTATGTTAGGATGAGATTTATTGAAGTAACTAAGTAACGGAGAAGTGTGATCTATATTATCACAGATAATGAACGTATCATCAACATATGTGCGATAGTATGTTGTGTCCTGATTTTGTGTTTTAGTTTCGTTTGTTCTAGATTAGCCATGAAGATATCAGCCAAGATAGACCGTAGTGGTGATCTCATGGCCACTCCATCGGTTTGATTACAGGATTGGAAGTGAAATAATTTTCTCAACTCATTTTGAGGCAAAGGAATTCATTCACATTGTTCGTAAACAATGTTATTAGTTTCTTCTAACGATAACGAACACACATCAAAAGATACCACGAATTTATCTGATATATTCATTTCCTTGGAAAACTGAAATGCGTCTTTTAAAATTAATTGGCCGCCAATGTTACTATGAATTGCTTCTAATAATTTGGTTCACCGCCAAGCCAACATATGATATGCTAAGTTCACCATAAACACTATAAATCTTAATGTGATGTTGGATTTGTGCATGTCCAACGACTACACAATCATTTATTAGTCTCATTTTCTTTACATAACCTCTGAATAATAATTTCACCGAATTTAAATACACACCGATCTTAACTAAGTTGATCTATACACGTTGTATCTCTATTATTATTATTATTATTATTATTATTATTATTATTATTATTATTATTATTATTATTATTATTATTCAGGTTACGTTTTGAACATTTATCTAAACTTCACAATCTAAATTACTTTAAACATTTGTTAAAAATCATATTAATAATTGTAGTTCTAGGTTGTATGCAGCTGATGAGAAACCGTGAAATAGGATGATGGGTTCACTTTACTCTGTATAACTTGTTGTTCTTGCTCTATTTGAGCTTATCATAGGATCAGATGGTATTATAACCCTCTTATTTTAAGGGTGATAAAATTCGGATTCAGGACGTGGTGTTAATTTTCTTTAATCATCTTTCATGAATATTATTATTTTCTACATAATTCTAGAAACACGTATTTAAATAACTTTTTTTGCACTTCATATATTTTGTCTTTGCTTCATTTACTGATATTCCGACTGTCTGCGGATAGAGTGTATTGAATATCTGATTGTTAAATGTCGAAAATTATTTAAAACCCTTAAGGCTTCCAGATCATTCACAGTCTACGAGGAGTAACGTAATTATAGCGAATCCATTGATAATGGCTGAACTTAGTTAATATGACACGCTTTATGTATGAATCTGTTAACCTATTCAACTGGATTATTGAAGTACACTTAGTTTTTTCTGTTGTACTATGACTATGACAAAGAAGACTTCGCAGAACATTATCTCTTAAATTACGTTAACAAAACTCAAGACAATTGAAATTATTTCCTTCGTCGCATACGTTTTAGTTAGAATGTACATTCTTATGGTAAATACACTTCGTTGTATAATTTTCCTGCGAACTAATAGAAAAGAACACACCCATTTCTCAACTCTTCGGTGACAGTATCTATGGTATTTGTACAATTTTACGAGTGAGCTAACGTTTACAATTGTTTTTGGGCGAAAACAAATAATCTCAGTAAACGAAGTAGGGTGTAATTAGACAAACCGCTGAATTTATTGACAAACAAATGAAGAACAACATTACGATCGTTCAGTTATTTTGTTATGTACTATGATTGGGTGTCTTTTGAATAACAACGCATACACATACTAGGATTCTTGATCTATGTTGTAACTAATTTATGCCTTGATAAATTCACTTAATTGAAAGCTACTTTTAGTCTTAGCTACTCCTGTACCTCTTCTAGGGTTATTGCCGGTCTCAAGCCCGGATAAAGGAGCAGGATTGGGCATGGGGTCAGCAACTCCATGCAGTACAAATCAACCTTGCTAAAACAACAAAACTGTACTTAAACCTTGCTAAAAAGTAATAGCCCAAATAAACAAATTAAACTATTTGAACTCTGTCTTCCGAATTCAAGGATCTTCATTCAGAAGAATTATGACGACTCATGATGAAAGCCGAGATTCTTCGGCAAGCATTCGGCCGTGAAGTTGTGCATGTAGAACAGCTGTGAGTCACATTGCAAGTGATTAATTGGATTATCAGGATTTCCACACATTGGATTGAGAATTGTAGGCAGACATGAAAAAAAGAATAGCAAGTGGAAATAAATGGAAATGATTTCCGAGAACAGAGTTGGTTTGAGAATACTGTTGGGTAGTCGATGCTCCTTCACGAGGGCAACATGTGTTAGTAAGTAATTCTTAGTTTTGTAATATCAAGACTGAATTGTATGATACAGACCATAGCCTAAAGTCACAAATGATCATGAAATGAGTATGACATGCACAAAATGGCATTCGATCATTTGGACAAATTTCACATTTAATTACTCAAGTCAATACCACGAACCATATTTAATATCTGTTTAGGGCAGAATTATTCGACAATTTCTCAGACAGAACCAATGTGTAAGCTAGAACATGCTTCAAAAGCGAGCGATGTGGCTTTCGATTATGTCCTCTTCAATTATATAGTGGACAGACATTTCAACAGCATGATGATTTGTGCACCCGTCATAAATAAAATGCCATAATGAAGAGCGATAATTCAGCATTCAGTGTATTTCAAAACAAAAAGGCAAAAATCATGGAATAACTTACAATATTAAAGGAAGTTTGTGAATTCGTAATGTCTAAATGTAAAGTAGTTGCAGAAGACATGAATAAAATGAGGTAAATTTGTGGTTTGTGAAATCATTCATTAATTCTATTTTTGTTATAAGAGGAACGAGGGTGTTGTATAAGTGTTAGATGGTTGGAGATAGTCGACAAGAAAACTTGCACCTGTGATTTCTTGCTATCTAACACCCATTATCCAAGTTGGCGTGTAATCCTGAGGGGATTAGTGCCCCCTAGTGGATTCGATCCCATGTCACCCAGCTTCTCAATCTGTGATGTTATCACTTCGCTATTCAGGCTGCAGCCAGGATTCACCAATTTCCCAAAGACTTAAACTAGTGGTGACATTGCAACTTGATCGATAGGATTCGGCTAGCACTAAAAGGGATTAGACATGCACGACACTGAA